ATTTAGTTTTCAACAACACATTCAAAGACCAAACATACAGCAGTAAGCCAAGGGAAAAAGTCTTCATCAACACTGCACTACTTAAACTTGACAGCTGTGTGCAGGACAGCTCACCACCTGCATCAGGAACACACATGTTTTTTTCTCATTCTCCAGGTTAGTTCGTAAATGAGGCCCAAATAGGTCTTAACTTAACTAACATCCCAGTCTTTCAAAGTGCCCTGATGGCAATAGAACTGAATGACAAATCAACAGTGGAAGAATAACTGAAGAATTTCTTGGTATGAGGAACTGAAGCACAACATTTGTAAGCAGATACCCAAAAATAGTGCAAAATATTACATGCCAGATGAAAATGTGGACACATCAAACTTGAAAAATACAGCAAGAGCTGCGATGACCAAAATCTCCAGTTGTGAATGTTTAGGCGGTGACGTCTTGATTGTAGAAAAGCTTCGAAGTTCAGCCTTTTACTCCTCCAAATTCAAAGTTGAATAAAAATCTATTCAGTGTTGATAACTTTGTTCCATAGTGGAACCAAAAATTGGATTTGAAACGCACCTCTGTGGGCCAAGAGGGAGGCACAATCTCATCTCTCCACAGACGAAAGCAGGTGACTCTTTGGTCCATCCCAGGCTCTCAACAAGGCAACGAGTATTGCATGCCTCGGCATGTTATGGTATACATCATTGTGCATCATTGTGCCCTTTTGTGCTGCTGTTTTTCTTCATTTGCATATGATGTCTTAGCTATGTGTCTAGCCATAAAGCTAAGCGGACAGTTGTGGGAACCATAATAGAGTTAGAAAGTGATAGCTGCAAAACGTGCTAAAGTCCTAGAAAACAAATTTACTGTGTAACTGAAGTTTTTGTCCTCAGAACTAGTCACTTAGTTTTCTAATGTTTGCTGTTGGAAAAATAAGTTCAGTTCTCAAAATTTTTGGTATTCAAACACAATTTTGGAATAAACTGAGTTCTACAACTGACCTATCACTGTAATAGTAAAGAACAAAGTTTTAAGGTCATCCTACTAAGCAGTCACATTTGTTGTAGCTGAGATTTTTCTCCTACTGGAAATATCACCATCATCTTCTGGGCCAGTGACTGTGACAGTAGTAACCCTTATAGAAAAAGCTCACTAGACCAGGTCAAAAAGAAGACTGGGCCTGTGAGCTACACTGAGCTGCCTGGTCTGCACATTAGCGCCGAGGCTCCAATCATGGGGCAGCCAGTGGCCCCCAGTCCTGTGCCCAGTCCTGTGCCCCTCGCCCTCTGTCCCCACTGCAGCAGCTGTGTACTCACTATGGTAACAGCAGCCTGGCGCCATCGTGCGGTCTCTGATTCTTATTGCTCAATCTACGCTGCATCTCATGGAAAATGCTAGCCACATCGTGATGACAATTACAATAAAATTATGTCTTAAATACTGTCTTGCTTTTTCTTCCTTTCAAATTTTCTAACATTGTATGTTGTTTTGTGGTTGATTCTATCAAATCAGACAGAAACTCTTTCATCTTTCCAAATTATTCTGCGGCCATAATTAAAAATCTAACTTGATCATTCACAGTACCAAATATGAGGACACAAAGCTCACTTGCTGCTGGCGCACCAGCTGCGACGGCCGCAGGAATTCTCTGGCTGGGCAACACAGTGGAGGTCAGGTCTGTGAAAGGGACAGTAGGGTGGGGGGCATCAGGCTGCTGTGACAGACGTGGACCAGCAGACCCTAGCTTCCCACCCCGACCTCAGCCCTTAGCCTCTAGGTGTTCTCAAAATCACGTCACAGTTTCAGCCCTGACCTGTGTTGGGAACCAAACTATTTTCTGAAAACACATGTGTCTATTCAGTCATTGTCCTCAACTAACAGCCTGGAATATAGTGAAAGAGCGTAACTCAGTGTTCCCTACAGAACTGGCCTAGTGTGGAAAGCAGCGTCAACTTCACAACTAGCAGTGAAGAGACTCACGGGCAAAGCTGGCCGGGAATCTCCGCGCTGAGCCACCTGGTGTTTGTATCCGGTTTGCTTTCCCACCAGCAGGGAGGAAGAGTTCCTTTCTGCCCACATCCTCACTTGCGTT